GTCTCTCTCACGCTTTCTACTATTTCGACTTATATTTTTTGGTCCACTCTATTCAGCTTGTGGCATGTGGGGGCTGGCACGTTATTTACTTTTGCGGTCATTGTGCGACGTTCGGGGACCCACGCCGAGTCCCCAAAGTTATAATTCTTAAAGTTTTTATCTCTCGCACACATCCTGCTTGGCTGGCCTGTTTAAATGGGCGTATACGTAATATTTAAGCTTAAGCAGATTTAATAGCCGCGCCTCTCACATATTTATGCATATTAATGATGTACACTCAAGACTTTCTGCCTCGCTGTCTATTTTCATTAGAAATTCGCTCAATTCTCATTTATTTCGCCCAGCGAAGCGCTAATGAAAATCTTAATGCGCCACAGTTAATAATAAAATGGAATTAGGGTCCTCCACCTCTGTCTAGGGAGTTCGTTTGAGCATTGCCAATGACTTTTGGGTATTTTCAATTTTAATTAAGTACCCAACAGACAATTTTTCCGTCTGCCCGTCCGTTCGTCTGGCTGGCGCCTACTTTTACGAAATTTATGTGCAACAACAAAATGGCAATTTGTTAGGCTAATGATGCCATTTTTCGCAGCAAATTACCTGACCATGCCCGACCATGCCCATCTAACAAGCAAATAAACAAACTGCCAACAAACATATTCACCCACATACACACGCACACACAACACTAGGCATGCGTGTATGTACATGCCACGTGCTGACTTGATTCAGTGTAGTGGCAGCGGAACTAGTTCATTTTCAAATCGATCAGCTAATAAGATTTTCTACATAATTCGAAAGAATAAGCCAAATAAATTAAACTTTATTTAGCGCTAGTTCCTTTAAGTGTTGTAAAAACGGAACTAGTTCATTATGAACTGGATAACTTCGATAGTGGAATTTTTCAGTAAATAATATTCCTAAATTATAAATATTAAATTTACTTCCATAAGATTCATAGGACTTACTTGTTAACTAGTTCTATTGACTGTAGTGACTGCGGAACTAGTTCTAGTCACTATTCTTATTCCTGAAATACCCATAAAGCCATCATTCTTAAAGTGCCAAAGGAACTAGTTCTTTTCTAAGTCCTGCATAATTCGAAATTATAAGTGTTTCTTTGGAACTAGTTCAATTCAGTATAGTTACCGAATTTTCACTTTAATATAATACTAATTATATAATAATACAAATTATTTAATAATACCAATTATTATTATTTAATTGGAAGCATAATAATAATTTGAACTAGTTCTAGATCAGTTTTTATATATTTTTATATACATATAAATTTTATTCGAAAATAAATTAATCCGTTCAAGTTTCTAAAGCGCTTTATCTATCTAATAGATAGTTGTTCGAACTACTTTCCATGGAACTAGTTCCGGTTGATTCAGATACTTTTTCTATGATGGTAATTAGACTCTGTGTGTGTAATGATCATTGTCATTTTAGTTTCATGAAATATATAATGAGTCTTGCAATTGGAACTAGTTCCCTTAATTGAACACCGATATTAAGCCTAATTGCACTCTAACTAAAGCAAAAGCCGTTCGAGGCGTAACTCAAATTAAGGCTAAACAGCTGTGGCAAGCATCAATAAAAAGAAAATAAATCCAACTAGCGATTGAGTTAGTTCGTACACGTAAATGGAACCATAATGACCAGCACTCGCATTACGTATACGTGTAGTGGGTCAACAAGTTGTGGCAAGTCAGCAGAAATTTGCTTGCGCTGCTGATTTTGGCTTTCTGCTTACACAAATACTTACCTGTCATAAAAGCAAAGTACTTCAATGCTTCGGCACCGGCTTTGACTTTGACCAAGGCAAAAGAAGACCCTCAGGCAACTGAAGCTGCCGGCCAGCACCTCCATCTCCTGCTCCCAGTGCCAGTGGCGTATTTGCGGTAAGCTGAACAAATTTCATTTTAATTAGCGCTACGTTGCACTATGCAAGCAATTCGAAATTCGCGCAACTGTTGCCAGCAATAAAACCCCAAAGTCTATTAAGCATGGAGCGAAGCCAAAAAGGCAACAGCAAGGAGCCAACATAGCTCCAACGCCAATAAACGGCGTGTGGCATGCAGACAGCAGATAGCGACTACAGTTGGCTATGCGCAGACACAGCCTTCGCTTACTCGACACTCTACAATGGACACCAGAAGTAATCACTGAATGCTGTGGCAGCTGTTGTTGTTGCTGCTGTGGCAATGCAACAGGGCTGCAGCAAATCGCAGCTGAAGTCCAAAACCTAATGCCAATGCACATGATGTGTTTAATGGTTAAATTGTTGCTAATTCCATTAGCCCCCACTGCCGGCTGCACTTCTGTGGCCAAAGTGTTGCAATGCCCGCCAGCAGCCAATGGCAGCCAACAGACAAACAAACAGCAGCAACAACAACAGCAACCAGAGCAACATCAGCAACAGCTCTTCGATGCTATCGAAATCGGAGCCACTGGCAAATGGAACGTGCGCAAATTAATGTAACGTTGACGCAATGTTAGGCACGAACCAATTTCACCTAAAACCTAACGCCTACAGCCTACAGTCTGCAGCTCACTCCAGCTCCTTCCGACCTCCTACTAACTACTCATCTGACCTGCCATCTACTCCTGCTCCTACTGCTACTGCTCCACAAATTGGCACCTTGTTTGCCCTATCAACTGGTTTGTCACGCTAGTCCTTGGCTGTCTGCCTGCGCTTGCATCTGCTTAAATGGCTAAGTGCTTAGCAAAATGACTTTAAAAACAGTTAAGCGAAGCCATAAGCCAGCTTCAAATTTGAAGTTAACTAATTGTATAATAATATATAAACTAAGCGTAACACTCTCTTTTTTGTCAAGCTGCAGAATATTAAAATTTTAAATAAAAATTAAAGCAAATTGAAAACGTTAAGTCCCGAGCAAATAAAAGTTGCTAAGAACCAATGAAATGTTGAGCTCATGAAGCTGATAAAAGTAAAAAGTTGCATTAAAATTGGTAATACGAAGTGATTTAAGCTGGATTTTTGGAAACAGAATATTAAATTGGGATTTCTAATGGGCGCTCATCTCACGCATTTCCCCGCAATTTCCATGGCAAACAAACATCGCGAGGCATGCAAAACGCATTAAATTTGCTTAGTAAATGTACTAAATATACACGACGGCATACAGATGAGCATAACGTGCAGCTGAGTGGGTACGGTAAGGGTAAGGGGCGTGGCTCATTCAGTTAACGCGCCGTCGCGCCGTAGTTGCCACTTTTCTATTTATTTGGCCATTAACGCTCATTTGTGGTTATCAGGTAAATTGGATAAAAGCCAACGTAGCATGAAGCCAGGCACAAACAGCGAACAGAGGTGACAGGACCTCTGGCTGTGCCGCACACACACACGCAGACACACTCACACAGACACATACAGGCTGTGGCTGTTGCTGCTGCTTATCTTCAAGTGTTGCAGCAACATGAAAATGAAGGCTTTGGCTCTGAAGATGCCAGCAAGCTTTTTTCGTGGCACTAACTGCGCCAGTCATTAACTTTTTATGCTTCTCTCCCTCTCTCTCTCTCTCTTTCCGTCTCTCTCGCTCTGCATTTACATTCAAATCGAATTCAAATATTTGCGGTTATTTTTACAGGCAGCCTTTGTTTCTAGCCACAATTTGTTTTTAGACTAATAAATAAAAACAGCGACGATGGCGTCATAAAATTTCATTTTCATACACTCACACTCGCGTACACTGAAAAGAATAAATAGAAATAAAAAAGGATATTTAAATGCGCCATATTGCAAGCTCAAATGAAATTTTGTGGCTTGTTGCAAAACAAGGGCAAACAGCGAAAAAAAAAAAAACAAAAAAAATAAAACATGAAAAATAACGCGAAATGCAACGTAAATATGAATTCATTTTGCTTGTGCCTGACCAAAATATACCCTGTAAAAGCATGAAAAATAAAACATGGAATGCGACTTAAATTAGAATTAATATTTGTGTGTGCCGGACTATATATATACCCTGTACTTATATTTAATTTAAATAAAATAAAATACATTAATATTAAAATAAATAAAAATATATATCAAATATAACTATTCATGCCCTCTAAACGATGTGGGCTATTGGAAGTGCATATTTACCTACTTACGTAATTTAATTAGTCTACTTTAAAAAACATTAACTAAGCACATATTTAAGATACTTCAGCTTTCAATAGTTCTGCTTCTGCCAGAAAGTATGCAATGGAATTTTTCTGGGCAAAAAACCGAAGTTAACTCAATGCAGAAGATAGAATAATTTTTCTGTTTCTGCCAGAACAAGCTGAGACTATCATCCGCTGTGCTAATTGTTTCCCTCTTTATGCGTTAATTTAAATACATTTTACCATATATTCTTCCCAGAACTCGCTCTTCCTTTTACAAACTGCATGCAGAATATTTTCGGAAAATCCTTAACAGTGCCCAGCTGTAAGTACTGGCAATTTTTTTTTTCAATTTTATTTTCATAGATAGAGAGAAAACTATCTTTATTTCTCACTTTGATTTAGTCGCTTTTAATAATATTTTTCTTTCTATAATTATTTTTTTTGCTTAAATTTACAAATTAAATTCTTTAAAAAAAATATTATTTTTGTATCATTGCATCATTTTTCAATATGATCACTAACTATATACGGTTATAAATTGAGGCATTTCTGACCAATGTAGTCTTCAGCAACACGATCAGCACGATATATATATATATATATATATATATATACATTCCATATATATATATATATATATATATACATTCCATACATACATATATATATATATATATACATTCCATATATTAATATCATCAGTTAATATCTCACATCTAATATGCCCAACTCAAATTTCTAGTTACTGGTTATGCGGAGAGGCAGCGTCTGCAACAGGGTAGTAAAACACACACACTCATAAACACACACTCACACACACTTGTGTGTGCACAGTTGCATTGGCGACGCGTCCACTGCACGCGGTCGCTCAATATGAAAATTCTTGTACATGGCATAAAGTCCAACGGGCTTGCCGCAGTTCAGTTCAGGTTCGCAGCGACATTTGAGGCGGGGCTAAAGAGCAGGCGGCGCCTTGGTGTCAGTTGGTCTGCGGTTGGTTTGCGCTAAATTAAATTTTCGGTACACTGCGACCCCAAAAGTCCAACGCACACACAACCAGAGACACATTTCATAATACGCCGAGTGTCGCCAGAAAGGTTGAGTGCATACAATGGATACATTGAAATTCGAATTTTTATTTGGAAAGTTTTATGCGCGTATATCTCAAATCAACATCCCCATTCAAATACATTCCCAGCCCGGAGTCGGAGCTGAGGGACAATTTTTTAGTCTGCTCGACTTTGAATTCGGATAAAATGCGTAGCAAAGCCATTTTCACGTTTAGTAAACCAACTCGCATGCCTGAAATATATATATAAATTGAGATATATGAGTTTAGGAATAGTAAAACTTTTCTATATAGAAAAACAAGTTATAAAATATAAGAAAGATTGGAAAAACCCTTAATATCAAAGATATGCAATAAGTTGTCAAGACCTTTCGAAATATGTAGAATAGCAGGAATTACTGTAAATCAAATTGATTTTTTCTGTTGGAAAAGTTTTAATAATAATGATGCCTATACTAAAACTCTCTGTAAATTATATCTCACTTTACATATTTATAAATAGATATAAAACAAGTTAGAAAAGTCTACTCAGAAGTGCACGACTAGTACATACCCGGACAACCTGATATAGCACATTTGCTTTAATAACTTTTTAACGGATTGCAACTTTAGCTTGAATCTGTCTTCAATCTGTATAAAACTCACCCAGGCAAATGCGTGGTCCATCACCAAAAGCCAGCAGGCAGCCGCGCTTGGTAAACTCGCTGGCAGCTCCATTGTCAAAGCGTTCGGGCCGAAACTCGTCCGGTTGGGGAAAATAGGTTTCATCGTGATGCAATTGATAGGAGGGTATTGCCACAGTGATGCCTGGCTCGACTTTTAAAATTTTGTCATTGCCTAAGTCAATTGTTGTTGGCCTTGTGCAGATCTTAATGAAGAAGCCAATAACACTGGTCATTCGCATCGATTCTGAGGGTATAAATAAAATAATAAAATATTCGTATTCGTATTCACATTAATTTTCATTCTCATCTTTATATTCATATTCATACTCATTTTCACTCATATTCATTCATATTCATGTTCATGTTCATGTTCATGTTCATGTGCAGGGTCATGTGCAGGTTCAGGGGCAGGGGCAGGGGCAGAGGCAGAGGCAGATGCATAGGTCAGAGGCAGAGGCAGAGGCAGAGGCAGAGGCAGAGGCAGAGGCAGAGGCAGAGGCAGAGGCAGAGGCAGAGGCAGAGGCAGAGGCAGAGGCAGAGGCAGAGGCAGAGGCAGAGGCAGAGGCAGAGGCAGAGGCAGAGGCAGAGGCAGAGGCAGAGGCAGAGGCAGAGGCAGAGCAGAGGCAGAGGCAGAGGCAGAGGCAGAGGCAGAGGCAGAGGCAGAGGCAGAGGCAGAGGCAGAGGCAGAGGCAGAGGCAGAGGCAGAGGCAGAGGCAGAGGCAGAGGCAGAGGCAGAGGCAGAGGCAGAGGCAGAGGCAGAGGCAGAGGCAGAGGCAGAGGCAGAGGCAGAGGCAGAGGCAGAGGCAGAGGCAGAGGCAGAGGCAGAGGCAGAGGCAGAGGCAGAGGCAGAGGCAGAGGCAGAGGCAGAGGCAGAGGCAGAGGCAGAGGCAGAGGCAGAGGCAGAGGCAGAGGCAGAGGCAGAGGCAGAGGCAGAGGCAGAGGCAGAGGCAGAGGCAGAGGCAGAGGCAGAGGCAGAGGCAGAGGCAGAGGCAGAGGCAGAGGCAGAGGCAGAGCAGAGGCAGAGGCAGAGGCAGAGGCAGAGGCAAGGCAGAGGCAAGGCAGAGGCAGAGGCAGAGGCAGAGGCAGAGGCAGAGGCACAGGCAGAGGCAGAGGCAAGGCACACGCACACGCACACTCACACGCACACTCACACTCACACTCACACTCACACTCACACTCACACTCACACTCACACTCACACTCACACTCACACTCACACTCACACTCACACTCACACTCACACTCACACTCACACTCACACTCACACTCACACTCACACTCACCTCACACTCACACTCACACTCACACTCACACTCACACTCACACTCACACTCACACTCACACTCACACTCACACTCACACTCACACTCACACTCACACTCACACTCACACTCACACTCACACTCACACTCACACTCACACTCACACTCACACTCACACTCACACTCACACTCGCACTCACACTCGCACTCACACTCACACTCACACTCACACTCACACTCACACTCACACTCAGCCTCCATCTATGCGTCACACAAGTCAATCAGGTTGACAAAAAATAAACAATGATCAAAATAAACAATGACAATATAGTGCCCATACCATTGATACACTGATCGAGATAAGGTAGAGCATTTAGCTGTTCGTAGCTAATGTGCTTATCAGCGGCCAAAGCATTCAAGATTTCGGAGCGTAACTTTTCCTGTTGCTCTGGACAAGCGCCCAGCTAATGAGAGCATAAATAACAAGTTATTGTGAAATAGTTAAACAAGATTGCGAGAATTTTCCACTTGCCGTATAGAGCATATGATAGAGCACAGCGGCCGAGGTCTCAAAGCCATCCATTAGCACAGTCAGAGCATGACCCACCAGATCATCCAGGCTGGCGCCCTTCTCCTGCAGCTGCATCAGATGCGCCAAGTAATCTGAGCGTTCTCCGCCGCAGCCGCTCTGCCTCAGCTTGGCCGCATCCCGGGTGAGCTTCAGATAGAAATCATTCGATTCCTGGGTAAAGAAACGCATGCGAAACAATTTGCGTACGATGGGCGCGATCGGTGTGCGATTGAACCGCGGCATGCTCAGAAAAGCGTGGCTAACCCAGTTCATAGAGAAACGCTGAAAGGAACTCGTCTCATTGGGGCTGCCGCTCAAGGAGCCAGCGTCAATGCCCCAGATGAAGTCGCCCATGGCCTGAGCTGTATAGCGATAGCAGAGCTGTCATACAAAGAGAGCCACTTATATATAGATATATAGAAATGCTGATTCAACTGCTCACATCTCTGGTCTCGATGATATTACTATGGCGCTCCTCAATGCATCTCTGCATATAGTTGACGAGCATCTCTCCCGTCTGCTCCCAGATGGCATAGGCTTGCTTCAGTCTATTGGGCGTTAGGCCTGCGCCGCCGTCTGTGCGTCGCTTCTTCCACTCATCGCCGGCACTGAAGAAGGGATTGCGTGCCACATACTTGTCATAGTCGTCCTTGGAGTGAGTTACATAGCTGCTCGTCACCGTGTCTCGATAGTCGCTGAACTTTGTGACCAACACCTCGTGCGCCAGCTGCGGATCGAGCACCAGAATCTGCGGCTTCCGTGTTAAAAATGTGCCCACAGCTCGCTGCTTTCCCTTGTATTTGCTATGGGTAATATATACATACATTAAAGATAATATATCTTGCCTTATATAAAACTGGATTTAGTTACTTGTAAATCTTGCCAATGTCTTCGATGAAGCTGCTGCCGCCACCAAACAAACCTGGATAGCTGCCGAGCAGCGTCAACGGCTTGGCTGTCACCAGACCTCGTTTCGTCCAGTAGCCATGGAACCAGGTGAGATACAGGTAAACTGCAGCAAAGGCAACATGCACAGTGCCTAGAAGCAATCCAATCAGCGTCCACATCACGGCAGCTCGTTCGTTTGCCAACTGTTTCTGTTTGCTTAGCACTCCGCGTGGAAATCCATTTGAGCGCCACTCGCTGATAATGGCTATATGATTATACAAAAATACTACTATAATACTAGGCTCTCATTATCTTTAGGCACGCTCACTCGGCTCTAGTGGCGAGATCTCAACAAGTCCACTCAGTCTCACATTTGTTAACTCTAATAAACAATAATTAGGTTAAATTGCTAGAGCAAATGTTGTTATTATTAGTTTATTTGTTATTAAATTTTTTTAAATAAAATTAATAAGTAAATTCATTTTTTCAACGGTTTCTTATAAAATATTAATGGCAAGAAAACTAAATTTTATGAAATTGTTTTTAATCAATAAATTAATATTCTTATATTTTAATTTAAAATTAATATTATTTTATATATATGTTATTGATATTATTTTATTTTAATTTAATATATTTTATATATATAATTATCCAGTTTTGCTGGTTTAAACTATGAGTAGCTCATCAGTCAGTCAGTGAGACTAATCACTCAATCAATTATATTTTATTATGTCTCTTATCAGTCAATATATAAATAAACAATTTTAGAATCTTTTAGTCTTTTCAAATTTTCCACACTTTATCAGTTCATCAAGCACCTCAGTAAACACTCAATTGAGCAGCACTCACAACTTTTGCGATGCGGTCCTCATCAATCATTGAATCACATACATTGTATTCCCGTCAGCCTGGCAATTCAATCAACCCTCTTCACATAAACTCCTGACATATAGGTTCATATAAATGAGTCGAATGTGGACCAATGAGCATATGATTTGCCTGACTGACTGACATTGGTTGATTATATAGCTAGCAAATTGAGCTTTAGCTCTAGCTCGAGTCAAGCAGGCATATCATATGCCTTTCAACTAATGATTTAATCAGGAAAATCACTGTTCTTTAAGCAGTCAATCAATAATTCACTCAATCAAACAGGCATACTATTTTCCTTACAACCAGTCAATCAATTAATCATTCAATCAGGCATATCATATGCACTTCAGTCAATCAATCAGTCAATCAGGTGTATCATATGCCTTATTCATATTCATATTCATATTCATATTCATATTCATATTCATATTCATATTCATATTCATATTCATATTCATATTCATATTCAAATTCACATTCATATTCACATGCATATTCACAGGCATATTCATATTCATATTCATATTCATATCCAGTCAATCAATCAGGTGTATCATATGTCTCTCAATCAGTCAATCAGGCATACCATATGCACTTCAAACAGTCAATCAATCAGTCAATCAGATGTATCATATGCCTTACAACCAGTCAATCAATCAGGTGTATCATATGTCTCTCAATCAGGCATACCATATGCACTTCAAACAGTCAATCAATCAGTCAATCAGGTGTATCATATGCCTTACAACCAGTCAATCAATCAGGTGTATCATGTCTCTCAATCAATCAATCAGGCATACCATATGCCCTACAATCAGTTATTAATCAGTCAATCAGGTGCCTTTTAATCAGTCAATCAGTCATTAAATCAGGTATATATGTGCTTCAGCCAGTCAATCAATCAATCAGACATATCATATGCTCTTTCCTCCATACTTGATGTATTTGAACTTTTATATAATTATGAAAATTGCTGGCTCCCCCATTTTATCACAGTCATCATCAATCATTGTCACACAATTCACGATTGCACGCTCACACGAACGCACAATCACACAATCTTTGAAATTTCATCACACGCTTCAATGAACCCTAGGTTAGCGCACTCATTTGCTCTGGTTCCTATAAAGATAATATGTGGCAATGACCAAGTCAAGCGGTCTTAGTCATTAGGTGAGCCAGTCTGAATCGGCTTGGAACTGGTTTCCCAATAAGCCTCTCTTACAGCGTGAACCATGAACCAATTTTGAACTAGAATTGAAAAGATAACCGAGAACAATTTATTACAAATCAATGGGCCCTACGAAAACTGAAACAAATTTTGCTGACACAACAACAGTTGAGTTGAGACACTTCGAAACACTTATCTATATCTAATCACTTTAAGAGGCTCCGCACACGCGATAAGTATATTGGATTCGCATATGGTAATGTTCGTTGAAAACTGAATTCTATTGAACGAAGCGACGATATTCCAAATTGATATCACCTTGTAGAACGACACCAAAGCCCGAGTCGCCGTCCGTGACTATCTTCCGCTTGCTTCGCACAATTTGATAGTTGTTGAGGATGTGAAACAGGGCTGATTTGATTGTTAGTAACGCCAGACGCATACCTGCCAAATGGACCAACATATCGTATATAGTATCTATATCTATATGCAGAGCTCGACTCACCCATGCATATGCGCGGCCCATCGCTAAACGGCAACAGAATGCCCTGTTGTATCAGCTTGAGATGCTCCCCATTATCGAAACGCTCCGGCTTGAAGGCCTCCGGTTCGGGAAAGTACTTGGGATCGTGATGAAATTGATAATTGGGTATCATAATGGTCATGCCTTTCTCCACCTGCAAGCGCTTGTCCTCGCTCAACTGTATGAAAGTGGTTTCTGTGCAGATTTTCGTGTATTGAGGTATCAAACTGCTCAGGCGCAAGGATTCTGAAAGAGGAATTCGTATCCATTTGCTAGACATATAAATTGTATGTCAAATTGTGTATACGCACCGTAGACAACCTGTTCCAGGTAGGGCAGCTGGCATATCCTGTCGTAGCTTAGAGATTTGTCATTTTCCGTATTGTTGCGCAACTCCATGCGCAGCTTTTGCTGAACCGCTGGAAACTCGGATAGCTGCAAGAACTTTGATTTAGTTTGGATATATAATCAAGCCCGAAACTTAACGTACATAATAGAGCGTATGAAGGAGCGCTGAGCCGGTGGTATCGTAGCCATCCAGCATCACGGTTAAGGCATGTCCCACCAGATCATCGTGCGAGGCATTCTTCTCGTCACGCAGCTTGAGCAGATGCGATAGGTAATCTACACGCTGCACCTCTTCACCCGTCTTCAAGCGCAAGTCAATCGATTCCTTGGTTAGGTTTGAGAAGAACTCATCCGTATCCTTGGGATAGAAGCGCAAACGCAAGAGCAGCCGACTAAACGGAGCCATCATAGATGCCATAAACACGGAGATCATATAGAAGGCATAGCTGGTCCATTTGCTGGCCATCTGCTGCACCTTGTTGGGCTCCCCCGAGTGTTGGGTCAAGGTGCCAGCATCGATGCCCCAGATAAAATCACACATCACATCGGCTGTATACCGAAAACAGAGCTGCGAATGGGGTGGATTAGCTTGTGATTGATAAGAGAAGGGAGAGAGACGGAGGAGGAAAGGAAGAAAGAATAAGAATAAAAAGAAGAGAGAAGGAATAAGCCAAAAGGCGAAGAGCAAATACGGAAGAGGGAAGACTGAAGAGGGAAGACGGAAAAAGGAAGAGGGAAAAGGGAAAAAGGAAAAGGAAATAGGGAAAAGGGAAGATGGAAGATGGAAGAGGAAAGAATAAAAAAGGAATATAGAAAAAGAGAAAGAGAATAAGGAAGGGAAGTGAAAAGAGAGAAGATAGGAGAGAAGAGAGCGCTTGGCCCTTATCAATGTGGCCATATTTGAAAGTTTCTCTCCCTGCATTACTCACATCTCTGGTCTCCAACGGATAATTGGACAAACGCTCCGCCATGTAGTTGGTCAACTTCCTGCCGCTCTGCTCCCAAATGGCGTAGCCGCGCTTTAGACGATTCGCCGATAGGCCCGCTTGGGCGTCTGAGCGCAGACGTCGCCAGGTGTCGCCGGATGCCCAGAAGGGATTTCGTTTGGCATACTTATCCCACTTGGCATGCTGCATATAGGAGCTGGTCAAAGAGTCCTTAAAGCAGCGAAAATTGCGCACGAGGATCTCATGGGCCAGCTGCGGATCGAGCACCAGGATTTGGGGCTCTCTCGTAACAAAAACACCCACAGCGCGATGTTTACCTTTGTACTTACTAAGGGAGCGGGTATATATATTGGGTATATAACGCTTGGTATATAATATGTGTAAGCCTACTTGTAGATATGCTGCACCTCCACTACCAGATTGCGCTTGCGCGTGAGCAGTCCGGGATAGGTGCCCAGCAAAGTGAGGGGCTTCGCTGTGATCAAGCCACGCTTGCTCCAGTACTTGTGATGCCAGGTGAGGTAGATGTAGAGGGGCAGCAGCAGTATGTGCAGCAGCATGAGTGTCAAGGCGATCATTATGTAGATGTTGCCACGCCTCGTATTACGACAGCCCCAGCCTCCAGTGTTCAACTGAGATGCCTCCGCGAGCGCTTTCGCCTTTAATACGCTTCGTTGCTTGACGGTTTCATATTCACTCATTTTCGACTTTATATATATTTACACATATGTATATACTTCTATATTTATGTGTATATACACATAAATATATATATATATATATTTATATAAGATTATTAAACTATATACATATGTTCGTATTTGTTTTGTATACTTTATTTGCATTGACATCAAATTCATAAACAAACATATTTTAAGACTCAAATAGACGAATGAATTCGATTTGCGATAACCGCGCGTCTCCCAAAGTTTCACTTTGATTTATTTGCGACTGACAGCAATTACCCGGCGTTGCCCAGCTGTGAGTTGAAAGGAATACAAATTATATAATTTTATATTAAATATGATTAATACTTTATTATTTTTTTGTTTTTTAATTTCTAACAATTTTTTGATTATTTCTGCAAAAAAAATTGGAATTCTTTAATGTATACTTTTTTGGTTTAGAGATCATAGAATTCATATTTATTGTCTTATATACTTCATAACTATATGTTTTTTATTTATTTTATTAGTTTCTTAACTTTCCCATGGTAGATAAGAAAATAAATAAATATTTCTTATATATATTTTAAAATTGTTGTTTATGTTTATGTTTATTTTATTTTTATATATATTTTCTTAAATATGTTATATATAATTTTTTAAAATACAAATATATTTTTATTATTTCAGATATTTATATATGTGTTGTTTATATATTTTTTAAATGATATCTTATAGTAAACATTATCTTAACTAATCATTTTTTACCCCCTGTCTGATGAATTTGCTTATTATCTTATCCGAGCTTCATGCAAGACTCAACAAATGAGTTTTATAGTTTCTCATTAATCATATAGAAATGACAGTTGCACAACAAACAAAAGTTTTTCCAAGTAAGAAAAAGGCATAAAACAAATTTAATAAAAATAATTAAAATAGACTTACAAAATTAAATGAAAAAATTAATTAAAATAAAAAGAAAAAAGTTAATTAATATACCTATTATAATTCATATACCTAATAATATTTTACATAAAAAATAAAAATAAATGTTTATAAACAATTTTAATAAGATATTTCATTTTTATTTTAAAACTTAAAAAATTAATTAAATAAAAAACTGATAATAGATAATAATGGAATCTAAACCCAAACTAAGAAATGTTTATGTTAAGAAAAATAATTAAATAATAAATACTTAAGGTTTTCAAAAATTAATAAAAGTAGCATATATAATAAAACAAAATTAAAAAGGCAAAATAAACTTTTTTAAATTTTTAAACATTAAAAACAGTCCAAATTTCTTGGCAAAGAGAAAAGAAAATATCTAGCTTAAAACATATTAAAAAATATAGCGAACTTAGAAATAATTAAAATATAAAAAGACAAATGATTTAAACATCAACTCTTGCTTAACCCATAAAGCAAAGTCTGGCCAGGCATGCAGCATCTCGATAAGGCTTATCAGTTGACACAATTATCGGAATACAAAAAAACCTTATCGTTAGACAAGAGAATAAAATGTACAGACAAAAGTGACATATAATATGCTAATTACAATCGTTTTAATGGCATTCATATAAACATTTTATCACGTTCCATACAAACAATTAGCTGCTCGAAAATAAAATCATTTTGTTTCGCTAGCTTCGTGTCTTATCGTCGTGCTTTAATCCGCCACCATCAACCACTCTTGTTGCTGGTGGCTTTGTGTTGTTGTTGTTGTTGTTGTTGTTGGTGGTGGTGGTGGTGCTACCTTATCAGCTGGCTAATTTATAGCCATATGACCGATAAAAAACTTAATGGGAGCTACGGAGCTTGACAAACAAAAGGCATTGTTATTTTTACTTTTAATAATTAAAAAAAGTGTGTGTGGTGTGGTGTGTGAATGTGTGTAGTGCTGAGGTTAACATTCAAGTCCCTCAAGCGAATGATCTATGCTGACTTGAAAAACAGAACTGTAAATTAAATAACTAAAAAAATAGAAATTAGGAATATTTCAAACATAAAATATTAAAAAAAAATTAGTAGTAAAAATTAGCAAGAAATAAGTTAATTTTATACGAAATTTGTCAGAAAATATTTAAAGCAATTTTTAGTATTTCACACAAAAGAAATTCAATCTAAATTAATAAATTTATATTTGTATAATTTAAAAATGTATATGAACAATATAAAATATTTAAAAAACTGTCACAAAAGAAATACAATAAAAACTAAATAGAAACATGTTTTTTATATAATTTTTAAAAATTATTTTCACAATTTAAGGTATTCAACAGAACCAGAAATGAAGTTTAATTTATATAATTTTTAAAAAATTATATTTACAGTTTTAAGTATTACAAAAAATGCCACACAAGAAATTCAATGTCAAATTCAAAAGAATAAATTAATTTTTGAAAGATTTTAAGTAATTAAACAAAGCCGAAAAATAAAGTTTAGCAAAAATTAGAAATACAAGTTCTTAAGTAATTACAAAATATAAACAAATTTTACAATTTTGTAGTAATTACTATAAAAAATGATTAAGTTTTACAGCTCTGTTTTATTAAGTGCCCTTTGCATTAGGCTTACAGCTTCGCTCTCTTGGAGGTCCTTGCTCTAAAGGACACGTTCTCTCTAAGCAGTCTTTAATTCAAGCGACAAACCACACAAGTCTGAATCTCATAATTTTCTCATGTCTTTGTTTGTTTCTCATTTTTGGACTTCCGGTTTAAGCAATAACAATAATTTGTAAATAAAAAACAATGCAGAGTATAACAGTAAAGGATAATCCCCTAGCCGAACACTAGCTGTGCTCGTACTTGCAGATGACCGCAAACATCTTGTCGCCGCCCAGATACTTGGCCAGCCAACGATTCTTGACCACGGCCAGCTTGAGGGTTTCGCAAGCGAATTGGGCATTCAGATTGGTATGCAGCGCTCTGCCCATGCCCTCGATAACAAGTAGATCAGTCTCATTGGCAGCTATGGCGTCGCACAGCTCCCGGGGCAGTGTGCGCATATCCAAGCAGGGTCCGCTCTGCCCATTGGCGTACACTAGCAAGCGGCCCGAACGCCAGGCGCTGTTCAAGACGTCGCACTGGCAGGCACAATCATCCAGCAGTGCGCTCAGCTCCCGACTGGTAACATCATTCAGCGATGGCTCGCTATTGGCACAGAGCAGCACCTTGGTGCCACGTCGCAGCAGTTCGCGTACGAACGGCAGCACACCGAGCACCACATCTACCCCACTGTTGTCCACAAAGATCACCGCGCACTTGTGTGCCGGACTCAGGTGCAGGCGCTGCAGCCAGGCATCCAGATTATCCAGCAGCCAGGGACGCTGCTCGATACGCTCCAGCGCCGCATGCAGTCCAAAATTGCTATCTTGCTCCAATATGCTGGCAATGGCCTGGGCGCCCCAGTCGAACATATTGCCTGCTAGAACACCGCGCACCAGCTCCGTCCAGCGCGCATCCTCATTGGCAATGTCGTCGATCTCCTGTAGACGCTGCTTCAGCCTTGCCTTGGCCGCGGCATTCTCCTGCTGCTTTTGCCGCAGCCAAGGGTCCGTGAAGCCATAACGTCTCAGCATTGTTTCATTTAGCTTGAGCAATTCGCTAGTACCGAGCACCACTTTGCCCCGATTGTTGGCTATGTTGCTCTGATGCTCCTCCAGCTGGTGCAGATATGCGGCCTGGAATTGCGCTGCACGCTGCTCGGCACTGGGGTCATCCAACTGACTGTTTGCTGCCTGTTTGGCGAATTTGTTAACCAATTCGCGGAAGCATGGAAACCAATAGGCCGCTGCCTTGGCATCTGTATTGAGGTCCAGCGTATCGGGCTGATAGTTGGAAACATCCTGCAGGAGCGTACAGCTGTGCATGTTTCTCTTGAGGAGCGAGCGATTGTAACGTAACAAAATGTTGACGGCCGTTTTGTTGCTGTTTCTGTCGGTCTAGCTATTGCTGTTCGTTGCTTTCCAAATGCGCACTAATATTATAATGCCTATCGAATGTAAATTCGTTTCGTTTGGTTTTCTATCTTTTTTTTTTATCACAACCGTCGCACATTGGACAGCACTGGCAAGGTAACAACAAACGCATTTTGCAGCAAACAGCTGACGAAAAAACACGTAATCGTGTGAATGGCGAATGCGAAGTAAGCTCTGTTTTTATCAACGAAAACACTGCACTTTTAATTTATTCAACAATTTTGACATATCATATAACTTAATAATATTTTATTTGTTTATTTTAATGATATTTTCTTTTTTTTTTGTCACTCATTTGTTTACTTTTTTAAATACACAGATATTTGCCGCCTTTGCGTATTTCACAGTGTTTAGCTTTTGTCTGCCTATTGCAAGCAATCGCAACCCACTTCACGCTATGGCATTGACAGGCCGTCTCTTTCCTGTTGAATTTTTTGACAAATCAACAACTTAAAAATGGTACGAATTAACAAAAATCGTTAAATATACAGGCAATCGTTGTTTTTTGTTAACTTAAATGACTGTTGAATGATTAAACAAACAATGTGGCATTAGTTGGCAATGTAATTTGTACGCTAAAGTGCTTAAAATTTTTGTATCGCTTGAATTTACACTAAATCTGTGTTCTTATTTTCTAATCAGGCCAAGCGCACCAAGAAGGTTGGAATCGTTGGTAAATATGGTACCCGTTATGGTGCCTCGCTGCGTAAGATGGTCAAGAAGATGGAAATCACGCAGCACAGCAAATATACCTGCTCTTTCTGCGGCAAGGTAAGCATGCATAAATTCGAATTCGATGTTCGAGTTTAGAAACTTAAACTCATTCTTTTTCTAGGATTCCATGAAGCGCTCTGTCGTAGGCATCTGGTCGTGCAAGCGTTGCAAGCGCACCGTTGCCGGCGGTGCCTGGGTTTACTCCACGACCGCTGCCGCCTCTGTGCGCTCCGCCGTGCGTCGTCTGCGTGAGACGAAGGAACAGTAAAAACACAAAACCTAATGCTCCGTTACGTTTAAAAGTTCCCGTAGTTTTATAGACAGAACGCAATTTTTCTATGGTTTGCGCCGCGCCGGTTGAAAGAAAAGTTCGTGCTTTTCTTCTGTAAAAGCATAAAGTGAAGAAAAAAAAAAATACGAATAAAAAAATTGTTTTTACTTTCGCACAGTAAGAAAAAAAGTGTTTTCATTATACCCTGCGCTAAAATTGTGAAAGTGGTCGTTGCGTAGTTTGAGGCTGTATGTGGGAATATATATGGCAATATATATATATTCCTGATCGGTCTATTTTTGTCTGTTACCAAATTTGGTAACTGATATCTTAATATAAGAGTTTATCCACTGTAATTAGAATATCTTACAGCATTGGAATCGTAAACGGCTATAGTGTAGGGTTGATTCTAGTCGTTTATATATGAATATATATATCCTGAACGCTTTATGAACTAAACGAGAAACCTAAGAATATATTGATGGGTACATCTGAGACCCACGCACAGGGTATGTTCCAATCCAGCACATGGGGCTTTCGTTGCTATATTTATATTTTATATCCAAATTTGCTCATTCATAAATTTTAAATGTTTTGACTTGATTTATAGAGTATATGCTAGTCTAACATTTATATATTTCCTGTAGTTATAAATTCCTCAGATTGTAACGGTAATCCGCGTACGCGTACTTATACGCTAAATCCTTATTGGCACTCGTAACGCATACGTTTCGATAGAGATGCTCAACTTAGCGATGTTTTATGCGATATATTTGTAGCTTGCTAAAATCGGTTTCATGATAAATATATGAATACCAAATGAAAGCTTTTTGTATTTAGGAGCTAATTTCGTACTACTGTTGCATAAGAATATAAGACTTATTGAGATATATCTCGTATATCGATGATTTATAGGTTTTTCATATATAAAGCGAAGTTCGTTCAATTCATTTTCAGTGTTGAAAGTTTCGGAACACCAAAAAAAAAAAACAATTTAAATTCATTTTGATGAATTTTTTATTTTGTTTTTTTTTTTTCTTCTCATTTTTATTTATAAAATTTAAAAAGTTTCTAATTAAACAAAAAAATTACATCTTACAACTTGGTGGCTTGCTATATAGTTGTTGGGAGATTTCACAATTTATAAACAAATTACAAATAATATATATATATATATTTAGCTAAACTAAATAGGAGATTGTGGAGGATGCTGGCCAGCCTGTTGCAACTTGATTGAATCTTGTTTATGCTAAAATTAAAATTGCACCGTCACCAGTTAAACGTATATATATATATATATATATATATATATATATACATATATATACTCTATTTTTTGTTTGTTAAAAAATTAATTTAGCTAAAAAGTTTTACTTGGCTTTTATAGATTTGTATATATGTATATATATGTGTGTGTGTGGGTGGATAAATTTTTATTCACTTATATTTTCTTCGATAATTTTTTAATCAGGTTTTTTTTATAGTTTTGGAATACTTGATTAAATATTTACACAACAGCGAAAATAGCATAAAATTTGAGCACAATTTGTTGTTAAATTTGTTTACCTTAAAGTTTTGTAATTTATTTTAAGAGCTGTTGGTGTTTTCCTTTTTCTTTCTTATTTACTTTCGACTAAGTCTAAAAACTCTAAATTCGAACTTATAGAAATATTTTTATAGTACAATTCATTTTTTATTTACTTTACACACACAATTATATATATATATATATATATATATATATATATATATAAATAGTTCTTTTAAATGTATATTTTTATAGCTACTCTGTACATTAGTTTATATATATTTATATATGTATTTCATATACATTTATATATCTGATATATGTCTTAACTAAATACTTTTTTACACTGTTTTTTATGATATGCGTGCATTTAATTTATTTTTTAAGTTTTTGTTTTTGTCTTTATGATTATGATTTGGATTTGAGAAGCTTTTTTATTTTTGTTAATTTATGATATGCAGCGCAATTTGTTGTGATTTTTAACAAAGTTTTTCATTTGGTACAAAGCGAAAGAAAATTCAAAACAGAACACGAAAAGTTTAACTTAGATATTAAATAATATAAATATATATATTATAATATAGATAATATATTATATATATTTATAAAACACAACGCTTGATAGTTTTTTTATTAGCTAGGGGAATGTGCGAGAGCTGCTTCGGCAACCATATGCTACATATATATATATATATAAATATATATATATATATAAATATATATATATATATAAATATATATATATATATAAATATATATGTTTATATCAATATACATATATATTGCATATAGCTTAACATGATTTCGATTTTGCTGCTATGACACATAATTATTGTTTATAATCGCTCACGAACCGAAAAGATTATATTGGTTTTAGGCAATATAAGTTTGGCTGTCCCTTCGACTGGTATATAGTCAATGGGTAGCCTTGCCTTCTAAATCTATTCGAATGTTATTAAGTTGTTGGAATATATACTATCGTATAGACAAGCCAAACCCAAAACTATATCTGTATATATATTGGGGGCACACAGACTTCCTTTTGCAGACTTATCAAAAACAATTTTTTAGAACGCGAACGAGTATTATGCAGTCGGTGACGCCCGACTGCTACAATCTTACTTGTTTTTAAATATTATTATTATTTTTCTTTTGCTTTTGTTTTGTGAAGCACAATGTCATTTAAATGCCAATTTATTGGTACTTGGTCGGGGCTAATTAAATACATATATATGCATATATATATATAAATATTGGTATATATATATACTACAAATCTATGCTTTATATATATATATTTATATATGTATATATATATATACACGCACGCACGCATACACGTTAATTGGGAAGACATTCGGCACGCACACACTCAACAGAAATAACTATTAACTTAGTTTAAAAAACACACACAGAAAAAATGCTGGAAATTCTTGCTCCTGCTCCTTATGCATGTCCTGCTCCTACATCTGCTCCTGCTCCTGCTCCTGCTCCTGTTACTACTTCTCTACTACTCCTTCTACTGGCAACTTAGTTAACATATTTTTAAACACAAAATGGAAGTTCTTCAGTTTAGTTTCTAGTTGTAGTTCGTAGTTATCCTTCTAGCTATTAGCTAGTGCGCCTGCCACTTGAACTTGGACTCCATCAGCCACTGCTGTCCCTTGGCATAGTTGCAGGGCCGCAGCAGCGGCGTACTTGCATCGTCTCGCGTGGCACGCTGCAAACACTGGCCCGTATTCGTATGCCTTATCCACTTCTCCTGCAATATAGATCCCATTCAATATCTATCTATCGATTTGTACCTTCTCACTACTCACCTCCGCATCGTATACCCATTCCTGGTTGCCGCCCATGTTGTGGCAGCGCACCATATTGACGGGCCCATTGGAGCTGGCAGCATCCAGGCACAGATCATCGGACATTATCTGCTGCCGTTTCGTGTAGGCAAACACTTGATTGCCGCCAAGGCCGTGGCAATAGCTGCTGCCCACCTTCTCATTGTACTTGCGGCCCATGGTGTCCAGGCAGGTCTCGGTCTCTGCATTGCGTATCTACCGGGTATTCGGATATGTATATATTAATAAGGGTATTCCCTAGGTAAATTCATACAACTACACTGTGCTACGGCTCATTGTGTATTATTTGCATTTAAAATATTTTGTCTACCTGAACAAATTTTGATTCACTTTAGTAAGGGTATTCTCTATTGAAAAAGGGTTGTCTACTCAGGGTATTCCCAACGAATATCGATCTCTTTTATAGGTCTAACAATACACTAGAAAAGTTAGCTAGCTTTTCTCTGAGCTGTAGTACAGTGTGATAGTCATTCAGGCAGTCTTACCTCGCCCAGATAGTAGTAATCCAGTGGCATTAAGCTTTCCGGATAAACGTTCTCCAGATACCAACGGAAGCTTTTGCATTGCAAGCGATCACGCAAAGACTTACGATCGCTAACATCTCCAGCTGAAGCTTTGCGAGCGCCTAAAGTTCCAAATGGGATGTAAAAGAGTAAACAGAGAGAGAGAAAGAGAGAGCGAGACAGAGAAAAAGGGACTTTCTTAGTAAGCTTTCAGGAGAATAACTGTAAAACATCTATGTTAGTGTGCGTGTGGGTGTTTTTTCAGTTTGAAGCTACAATCGTGTTGGTTAAGAGATATATACAAACTAAGCATGATTCAACAAAGGCAAGCAAAGGAGAGTATGCAGAGCTTTTTAAAAGCTTTAAGCAGAGCCAAAACTGTGCAACAATATACATATTTGGTTAATAAATATATACAGAGCATGCAACAATATATATATATATATATATTTATATGTACAATAAAGCTACGCAGAATATATTGCTTAAGGCTAACAACATAAGGGGTATTCAGGTGCAACAAATTGAAATTTAAAAAATTCACGGAATACCCTTAATCAAATAGAAAATACGAGCTGAAATGCATGAGTGTTGGAGAGCGAGGGCGGGACATAAAACAAGCGTCGTGTGGGTGGTATTATCATATCTAGTTTTTTTTTTGGACAAAACAATATACAAACGGAAATATAGAAAACTATATAGACATAACGGAAACTTCAGGAGTGTTCGAGAAGTGGGACAAAGTAGACATAAAGAGGAAAAGTCAAGAAAAACAATGGACTCATACAAAAACAGGTAAGAATGTTGTAGTCGGTCGTGCCCGACTGCCTAATACTCGTTCACAATTCATATTTCCAGATGTGCCCTGATTCGGAATCTTTGGAGTCTATAGTTTTTTGATTCGATTAGCCACGCCCCCAAGCGGCATATCTATAACATTTTTGACACATCAATAAGGAAGGTATATTTTTCCGTAGTAGATATATCTGGGCATTACCCGACTTATCATGCCTCCAGTGGGGCACATCGGGTGAGATAAGGATATATTCCAAATTGAAAGTCTTTAAGTGCTTTGCAGTCATTCGGACGGATAGACGGACGGATGAGCATTACACCCAACAAATATACTCTGCTCACTTCGTGAACGAGTATTAAAACGAAAACAATTAAAGAATTATAGAGGGTGAGCTTTTTAAGGGGTTGTGGGTGATGGGTGGGGTTTTGTTTAATACTTGGCCATGCCATATATCATATATATAATATATATATGAATAATTGAATATAAGTAAATTATATAATATATATATGTGTGTAGTATATAAGACAGACAATTGCATAATGCAGAGCGTGCTGCTTGCTCAATAAAAATACATATATATAGATGTATATTCGAAACATATTAGGCTATATATATATATAGAAAAGAGAGACAGAGAGAGAGAGAGAGTGAGGCAGAAAAGCATGTGAGAGAGAGACAGATAGAGTGAAGATGCATTCAGCGAGAGTTGTATTTGGTTTTGATTTTGTTGTTGTTCGTTAACCTGGATAAAAACTGTAGTAGAACTCTTTCCAGTCGTCCAGCCAAACCTCAACCAGACGCGCATTGTTATGATTAACAATCTCCGTCGTACCGCCCGGGAAGGTATATGGGGTTGATTTTCGAAAGACATGGCCGACGCGGGAACAGGGCGCTATCTCAAGCAAGCCGCCGCACATCCAAACCTGGATACAGGGCAGCATTATCAGTCAGAGTTGAGTTAGTCGAGCGAAGTTAACATAAAAATTGGGTTAAGGAAAAGAAAGAGAGGGAGAGAGGGAGAGAGTGAGAGAGAGAGAGAGATAGAGTTGTACACATATATATTCATATATAGAGTTGGGCGGATCGCTGTAAAGTCTGCATATAGCCAAGCGCAAGTATTGACCTCAGAGTTGGAGCTGTACCTAGGAGCTGCAAGGGGGAGTTCAACAGTAAGAGAGAGAGAGAGAGAGATAGGGATGGGTAAGCAGTTGGGTAAAGCTAGCTTAACAACTATATTAAGGACTTCAACGAGCTTCATTAAAGTTTTTGGAGCATATAAAATTGAGTGTTTTGTCTATAATACTATTCGTTATATCATCGACGACTTCTTAGTACACATTCGTTACTCGAAATAAGTCATAAATAAGCCAAGTCGAGTACTTAGCTAGCTGGCAAATGTAACGAGACATTACATTGGGCAATAGCTGTAGATGATAAACAAAGAAGTCATCATAATTAGATAAACAATTAGATCGTTAGAGTTTTATAACGAGTAGTTGTCAGTGAGTAACAAACGACTCAAGAACTCATAACGAGTAACTAATAAATAAGAGTTAGAAAGCTATCATAGAAACGAGTAATTAGGATTGAAGAATGCGTAACGAGTAACGAGTAACGAGTACTTATAAGTGGCAGCTGTAAAAGATAGAGTAAGCAACGATTATCTACTCGTTACAGCTGTAATAAGCAAAGACTCATATCGAGTAGCTGTAATAGACAAGTAACGAGTATCTATAACGAGTAGCTGTAATAGACATGTAACGAGTATCTATAGAGTAGCTGTAATAGACATGTAACGAGTATCTGTAACGAGTAGCTTTAATAGACAAGTAATGATTACTTATAGCGAGTAGCTTACAGTAAATAACGAGTTTCTAGAGTAACACTGTCTTATGGTTAGCGAGTCACTCTTCAGAGTCAGACTCCCAACGAGCAGCTGTAAAGCAACGAGTGCCTTGTCTCAACTAACAAAGAAAAGTGTGTCCAACAATCTAGCCCACAACGAGAGAGAGGGAGACAGAGACGCCTACAAAAATGTAACGAATAAATGTATATAAAAAAGCAATAAATTATATATTACTAAGAAACTTAGGGATAAAAACTAAGCACTAAAAATTAAATACCAATTCGTGTAAAAAATACCTAAATATCAAAATTAAGTTTAGTTTAGCTTAAGTTAAAGAAAAGTAGTACTCAGTATTGGATGAGTGTTATGAGCAATGTATTATTTGTATTATTATCAAAAATTTTCTGTATTGTTTTGTTGCTTTTTGGTTAGTTTTTAGTTAATAACAAAAGGTTCGCGCTTGGCTGTTGCCCTTGGCGTCTCGTTTCGACAAACATTTAGAAGAAAACAGAAGAAAATTAAATGGAAATTAAATATATATTTATCCATTACTAATTTGGAGTATTAAACAATGAAAATATATATGTCAGATCTGTGTTTTGGTTAAGCGACGACAAAGGCATTAGCTTTCTTTTTTAGTATTACAATATCTTCTGGTGTTACGATACATTACATAATATGCATGTAGTATATATAGTTAGCTAGTTATATATATATATAGTTATGTGTATATATATTTCGATATATTATTCAAATGTTTTGTTAATTATGCTCAAAATAATGTTTATGATTTGTGTTTTTTTTTGCATTGTTTGTTCTTGTTGTTTGTGTTTTAGTATTTTTTTAGTATATTGTAGCGCGCTCGTATGTTTTTGGTTTTGGAAACGGTTTTCCAAATACTCTTGCAGTTGTTCATAGAGTTGATTTTGAATAGTAATAACTCTTGTTATACTGCTTTGGCTGGTAGTAGTATTTTAGTATTTTTTAGTATTTTTAAAGTTGAAATCTTTGATTTTTAAGACTTTAAAATAAGTTTGTAAACTTTTTTAACAATTTACAAAATTAAAAATAAATAATTTTAATCAAATGTTAGACATGGTATGGAAGCAAGCTGTAGAGCGCATATACTACCAATTGTGACACTAAAAATACTGTTCAAATAATTAGCATAAATAATACTTAGCACTAATATAGACGCTGTAATCTATACACTATACAATGTAGATGCAAAATTGACTTAGTTTCAACAATTTCACATTTTTTCAAGAAAAAATTAAATTGAAATTAAAAATTTTTAAGTATGTTAAGACACACATAATGGAGCCAATCTTGCATATCTTATATATTATGAGAAGTACTATTTATACATCTAAATTCAATAACTCTCGAATGGTTACAGCTTGGCTTGAGTAGCAAGGCAAAGACGATTGATTGAACTACCTGTGCAGTCTACCTGTTAATCATTGCTAATTGTTGATTAGTCATAGACAAGAAATACGTGAATAAAGTCATGTCTATACATCTGCAAGAGTATTTGAGCTGCGGCAAGCCGAGGCTAGCTATTTGCTCAAAGGTTAATTTTGTTTTTGGTTTTTTTGGTATTTTGTTTAGTAACAGGTGAGAGCCAATTAAAATATAACAAGTTCAAGTGTTAGATGCACATTAAGATATATCTATGCAAGAGTTAAGTTGTTGTTATTGTTTTAATTTGAATTGAATGTTGTGTGAGTGTTACTTGTTGCTGTTTGTTGTCAATGTATTCATTTGTTGGTATTTTTCGGTATTTTTGTTGTATTTTGTTTTTTAGCGAACCTGTGCTCATTGCATAATAGAAATCACGCCACTCGTCCAGCCATACCTCGGCCACCCGCGCCGCATTATGCAGCACAATTTTGGCCACGCCTCCCGGGAAGGTGTACGGCGATTTGTCACGGAACACGTGACCCACATGCGAGCAGGGTATAATTTCTAAAATGCCACCGCATTGCCATATCTAAAGAATTGTCACAGAATTTCATTTTTTTATTTTGAGTGTTTCGTTGTTTGTTTGTTTGTGATTCGATTTTTAATTTAAAAAAATAATTTAAAAAAAAACAAAACAAAAATTTAAAAATTAAAATCTGACTCAAATCAGGCGCAGGAGAAATGAATAATGATAAACAATAATAATAATAACAATAGTTATTATTATTATAAATATTAGATGATAAATGTAGGCAAATGGGCAACACTTTTTTTGCGGCTTGGCTTGGTAGCTGAAAGAACGAATAGAAAAACGATAGAAGGAAAATGTTTCATTGACATTGGCCTTACTCGGAACGACATTTCCAAATTTTCGCCACCCCAGATGTCCATGCCCTCGTCGTAGGAGCCAATTTCATAAAAGTAATCCTTGTCAATCGAGAACAATCCGCCAGCCATTGTTGGCGTACGCAATGGAGCTGTGCGATCGTTATTCCGCCTCGCCATCTCACGCTGCGGCACACGATACCTATTCAGGTAATAGAAATTCACTTAGAAATAGGTGTAAAAGTTGACAAAGTTCTGTTGACACGCACCATCTAAAGTTGAGCTTCCAGTTGAAGCCGCCCCACGTCGAATCGGATGCGGTTATGTATTCAAAAGTCTCGTCCGAGATGACATCGATGATTGGGCAGACGACAGTGCGACGATTCTGCACGATGCGTGCAAGCAGAGGCTCCAGCCAGCCTTCAGTGCATTCACAATGGGCGTCCAGGAACGTGATCACCTCACCTGTGACATGCTCAGCGCCAAGGAGACGCGCGCGTATCAGGCCCGAACGTTTCTCCGTACGCAGAACAAATGTACGTACAGGTAATTTGGCCACATAGTCCTCCAGCTTTTTGCCAAGGAAGTCTAGAATGGTAAAGTAAACAAATAGCTTTGATTATAGGGAATATTCAGCATAAAAATTGGATATCTACAATAAACTCAATGCAACAGGTTCGTTTTTAATTTCAAATACACAAAGAGGGAGTGCAAGTGAGACGGACAGAATACTTAAAAGCATTACATCATGCATAAGCAATAATGTGCTTGTATTGCTCATGCATGTACAAACAGACGCAAGTGTGTGTGCATACTTGAAGCAGTTATTTTTCACAAACGCATCAGCTCTTACATACTCTATCTAAAAATAGTCCAGCATAAAATGAACATAGTATATGAATGTTGCAAACTGTTTGACTCTTTTGGGATACTTCTCAGCCGAAAGGGAACAATTGCTGCTTATGCATATGCACATTTGTGAGAGCAAGTAAAATAGAGTAAGCAATGCAGCGGGACTAAATAACACAAAGCAACCAACTGCCTCGCTCACACAAGTCCCTGTGGCTCTCAGGTCCCGTTGTTCGTTGAGAGTTGTTCATGAGAGTCAGCCAAGCAAATATAAAATTCAAGTGCTGGGGTGAAAAAGGGTTGCTCTAGCTGCCTTATAGGTATGCATATGTGTATTATTGCTTGTTAGTATTAATAGCTGTATTTACCTCTCTCACTGGCATCGTCGACCAGTATGATCTCTTTTAGTAAAGAGCGCGGTGATCGATTAATAACACTCCAAACAGTGCGCAGCAGCGTGGTCCACGCCTCATTATGGAAGACAATAACTATTGAAGTAGTAGGCAGCTTTGAAGGATAATGTTTATGTCGGCAGCTAGAAAAAGGATAATGATAATGATTAATATAATAGTGCTCATGATATTGAGTAAGATAACAAGCTTAGCTGACCAACTTGGAGATACCCGCCTTGGCTATGGAACCACCTTCTGTCACTGTCACATATATTTGCATATTAGCTGATATACCCCGCTTCACCATTTTTTATATCTACAGGGTATTCTTTCATTTTCGCACTTACTTCTCGTGCCGCACATCTGTTAAGGAGCGATTCAGCGAGATCATATCGCTGGCCAATAGATTGAATTGATTCTCCTTGAACTTCTCCTTCATGATATCCTTCATATCAGCTCCTATTTTAACGGGTTTGCCCATTTCTCCGGGTTTACCCCGCGACTCTCGTACTGTGGGCGCTTGGAACCATTTCTTTAAGGCCACACTGCGATAGGTCATCGAAATGCCACCAGTGACAAAGCCCTGGCCCATAATGGGTGCCGGACCTCCACCGTTATCCTCGCCATCCAAGGACTTTTCGGTATTAATTTCATTATCATTAACGAGCTGATTGTCGTCCACCAAACGCTCAGCGTTGGGTAGCTGGAAAGGGATATACAGAGATATGTAACAGTTTATAACAGTTTCTGTATAAAAATAACTCACTTCAACATCGTATTCGCCGGCTCGCCTGCAACGCCAGCCATCTTTACCAATGCAATCCGAGTAACGGGCAATGAGCACAAAATCAAATATAACCCAAACCAATGAGGTGAGCAGGACAATGCGACAGGTGTTTGATCGCATGCGTCCGCGCATTTTGCGTGTGAAAGTTTGCAGCGTCATGTTAACTCTATATATGTATGTGTGCTTGTCAAACTGTTAGTTTGGCTCCTATTAACTGTAAAATTGTTATATTGCAAGACCAATTTGATTTCTTTGCTGTCAGTCGTTCGGTATGGCAGCAATCAGCTTTTGTCTGTTTGGGCGTTGCTCATTACTCGGTCATGTTAACTTGTTGCAGCAATCTGCTTTAAACTGTCATGCAATGGTCACTCATGTTAACGTGCTGTTAAGTTGAGCGTTTAGGATATGTTAATGTTGTTGTTGTTGCTGCTGTTGGTCGTAAGTGTTAACAGTATAGAACTTTTCTTATCAGACTTTTAGTTTAACATGAGCTGCACTTCTAAATTGCTTTTAAATTGTTTTTGCTGCTGCTGTTGATGTTGTTGTTTTGGCACATTTGTGTAGCAGTCGCTGTCTCTCTCTATCTTTCTGTCTCTTTCTCATGCTACGCAGAGTCAAGCGGCTGCTGCTTTTGTTGGTTTTGCTTAACTAGTTGCCCCTCTTGTGGCATCCTCTCCGATACTCTCCAGTCCAGTTGCTGCCCGTTTCCAGCTCATAGCCCCCCAAATAACCAGTTTGTAGCTTGCCTCTTTCTCTTCCTCTTATTTTTATATGTCTCTGAAAGACCTTGAGAAACAACTCAACTGTAAAGAAAGCAAAGAAATCAACATTAATAAAGACTCGACAAAAAACAACAAAAATTCCATAAAATTATAATTTATGTATGTAAATATATGTTTAAAGCAAAAACGAAAGTTGTATTCGTTGAGATTACGAGTTTTTGGGCAAACAATAAACTTTTAAACCTTTGTTCAATGACGAAGGCAACTTGAAAAATGACTTGCAAATATTTTTGAATTCAAGCCAAGCTTCAATTCAACAATTTATATTGTTTTTAAAGAGCAATTGTTTCGTATCTCTTTTAAATAATAACAAATCTTATAGGACCTTTCCAATTGTAGCGCAGTACCCGAACTATAATCAACTCCAATTTGACACCTTTCCATTAACAGCTGTAAGCATTAAAAGCAACCTTCTACACTCATGAAAGTTGTTAGCTGTTTATTCAACTGTTAACTAACAGTGTGCGTTTATCTTATAAGACTGTGTAAATATTCAAATTCCAACTAACTGTAAAATGCTAAAGCAGCAAGACTAAGATTTCTTAGAATTTTATACAGCTGCAAATTTCTGTCAATAAATTTAATACAATAAACAAAACGGAAACATTCAAATGGCATTTTCTCAAATGTCAGCTTAAACCACAAAGTCCTCAAAACCATTTTGCGAAAAAAGAAGAAAATACACAAATTGGTACCCAAATTCCATTGACAAAGGTCATAGTCGCAGCGCTCCTAAAAATGCCACAATACAACAACAACAAATTGTTAAAACAGTCTAACGGAAACTGGCACCAAAAACGAGATGTCAGAGGCGACTCGAATCATGTGAAAATTTAACAACGTTAACTTATAGACTCGAATATACCCTATAACAACATGTATTAATAACAGAACGGCATATCGAATGCACTGGTAAAACAATGTTAATAAATTTGTATGCTATTAAAACTAAACTGCACATTCTGCCTACAGCACATGTTTAGCATTTACAGTTAAGAAAATAACAGTTTGTTGAGAAATGCCTTTAGTTATTCGATCAGATAAGAGCAGCACAATGTTAGCACTTACACTTATACAAATTCCTTACAGTTAACAGCAGTATCTATATTCTACATATGTCATCTCAGTTATTAGCTTAGATAACAGTGTGTTATATTTTCTGCTGTAAATAATGAAAAGCATCTGGTAACAGCACAAAACTGTAAAACAGTGAAGATTACGAAAATATCTAAAAAGATTTCCATGTAACCAATAAAAGCTTCATTTCGCGAGGGTATCACGAAAAAGCGCAACAACTCTTAACGGTATTTTTTTCGTCTTCTTTTTGCGCACATAACATGCATTTGAATCATTCATAAGGCATGCGACGAGTGCCAAAGCTGCGCCTAGCTAGCATGATACGGCAGCGCGAGTGAGACAGATTGATGAATAGAGTGCGGAATGGGAGAGAGTGGGTAAGCGTAAGCGCATTCCAAACCAGTTTCCCATAGCACGATACACGCACACGTCAAGCGCTTGTTGAGAGGCCGCGCGAGTAAAAGAGAGAGAGAAAGAGGAATAAGAAGAGCGCAGGGAGCACAGTTAGTTGAAAGGGCAAAGCTGTTAAAATATGCAGTTGCATGTGCAGAGCAGCGCATGATGAAGAGAGCGGCGGAGTGGGCGCCGCACAATAACGAAGTGGCAAATGACAGGCAGAGCTTGCAGCGTTGCCAGAGTGTCCTTCAGTGTGCGCCACAGGACAAACTGTCAATAATGTACTCAATAACAAAGATACAAAACGAGTTTCGACTTGTGCACTGAGAGAAATGATTATATTTAAATTTAAAATATATACAAAATTTTATAAAAAATAAATATGGAAATAAAAATTAATTGCAATTACTTGATACATTTTTATATACACGTTTTTAGACATTTCTATACCAACATTTTTTGCAGTGTACATACTTTCATATGACCGTAGGTCTGAACATTTCAATAATTTTTGCAAAAGCTTTTTATGTAATGCTGCTGTCACATTTCGTTTAATATATTATTTACAAAATCCTTTCAAAAAATTTTCATTTGAATTATTTATAAACAGATAAAAAAGCGTGTATCACTTAATCAATTTAAACAGTTTTTTTGTTGGGCTTTAATTTTATCATAATTTATGCAAAAATTTTCCGCAATTATGCGTAAAACAAAATAAATTATTCATATGTTGGATTTGCATAGCTAACGGTACATAACAGATGAAATCATAATTTAAATTAAAATAAATTGAAACGTCATAATTTGCGAATTCTTTGTTTACTGTGCATACAATTAGGGCACCCACTGTAATAGACGGAACATGAAAGTAAAAGGTCTTCAAGTGTTAGACAATGTCTGTTAATTGGACTGCTAATCATCGGCTAATCACTGTTAAGAGGAATCTGCAACAGCTAAACGTTTAATGTTCTACTGTAATCAACGCAAACAGCTTATTGGTTTTTATACTATTAACGTTAACAATATTAATAAAGACACATTTATCACCTAATTATAATTCAATTCAAATCAATTGAGACACAGCACAACGAAAACGACAAAACAGCAAATGGTCCACACAGAGAGAACAATATTAACAGCCTCTATGTAAACAGCCTCGGTGTAACATGCAGAATGAAAGAGAGAGAGAGAGAGAGAGAGAGCGTGTGCAATAATAACAATTGATGAGCTCCATATGTATACGTGTCAATGTATATATGCATGTGTGTGTGCATGAGGGCGCCGTTTGTGAATTGCTGTTGCTGCTGTGATTTGTGTTTATCGCGTTTTCTCCTTTTCACTTTGATTTCGTGTGTGTGTATAGCTACGTATGTGTGCTGATAAGCTTTTGTTGTTCAGCCTACATTTGTAGTAACAAAGTTTTTGCTAGCTACGCTGCATGCCGCGCGTAAATTAAATTTTGTATTTTAATTAAAAGTCGCACAGCGCGTCGTAGTGTTTCGGAAAGCTGTCAAACTGTAATAAATTGAAACAACGTCGAGCTGCTGTTGGCTTACACACACTAACACAAACATCTCACCCATAGACTCCCACTGTCTGCCTCCCTCTAGCTCTGCCCACAACCTCTCTTTCTCTCATACACTTTGTAACGGCGTTCCGGACACTGCGAGTGCGGCGGAAGCAAACTTTTTTTAAGAGAGAGACTGTTGCTAGAGCTGTTTATGGCTACTGATAAGCGTGTCTACCGTAGGCGTGGTACACTGTACATGTGTATGTGTGTGTGCGAGTGTGCGTGGCACTAGTAGCACACTTTGACATGCTTTTGCTTGTTGAGTGCTCTCCGTTTACTTTAAACGCCCCAGAACAATTAATTTGATGAAAATCTGTGTCAATTTCCCGTGAAAAGCTTTGACGCCAAAGATAGCAGCACATAACAAAATACAGGTGGTTTTAAATTGATAAGGAAATAATTAAATACAAAACTTTTATTGTTTGCTTTTTTAAAACACTATAAAAGGCTGCTCTTTAAGAAATTACTTGATTTTATTTAAAGGAGTAGCCAAAAAATAGCTAAAAACATATAACAGCCACATCAGCCATTTAAAGCTGATAGCAGCATTCCAGCCACATGAGCAACGCTGAAACATTGTTGTGACGTGGTGACAAACTCAGCAACCAATAACGGTTTGAAAAAGCTGTTTTGAAGCCGTTTGAGCAATTTATTAATGAATTGGCGAGTTGGCAAGTTGGCAAAGGTCGCGTCAAGTGGCTGGCGGCTTGTTTTACAATTGCAACAACAACAACAGCAATTATAAATGAAATTGTAACTGAAAATGCAATTAAGCAACGGAAAAACAAAAAAGCACAGTGAAACACAACCATTCGCAAATGTCAGCAATTAAACTCAATTAATGAAATTGTCAAATTGTATAATTACAAAAAAAAAATAGTTGCAGCGACTAGAGACCCCTGAACGAAGATTATGATGATGGTCAACTGGTTCCCATGGTACAAATAAAGCTTAATTGTGTGGCGTAAATATGATGTCTGTAAATAAATGGAACAGTACCTAAGTTTACCATGTAAAATTGATTTACTACCTTGATGAAAATTTTTGTACATAACATATATGAGCGACTAAAAAATAAATAAATACCGAATACAAATAAAAATTAAATTTCCCAATATGTTGTACTCAAATCTTCCTCACAATCCACACTAAAAGGTCCACTATTTAGATTCCACATTGATAAATATCCTTAACATATAAATCAAAAGTAAATTTCCAATATTTTAAATGTCACCTTTATAAATTAAATACCCACATTTTATTATTTCAACTGCAAATGCAATACACATATTTGCACATACACACATACACATTACATTCCACATGCTAAACGCATTCACACACAAATAAATTCATCATTCGAATGCCGCCGTTGCCGCCGCCAGCGAACTACCAAAATAAATCACTGGGCTGTTAAGCCGAGCGCAGAACACATTTTGTATAATTAAGCACGCGCTGAGAAACACAAATACAAACATAAGCACAAACAACACCACAAATGGGAACAAAAAAATCCCACATAAAAAAATAACGCTTCTTTTTTGGGCGAGAGCAAAAACACATCAAAAGCCGCACCCGCATGCACTCTATACGCTACTTTAGACAGAGCAAGAGCGAGAGAGAGAGAGAGCGATTGCATTGGCTGGCCCTGCACTTGGCACGCTTTAATGATCCGTGATGGCCAAACGCCAGATGAGGACAAGCTGATCCGAAGGGAAGAAGAGCGAAGTGGGAGCAG